CTCTTCTTCTTCTTCTTTTTCTTCTTCTTCTTCTCCTCTTCCTCCTCCTTCTTCCTCTGCTGCCGTTGCTGCTTTTTCTTCTTCTGATTTAGGTACCTCAGCGAAGTACTGAAGTGAGATGTCAGGATTGTGTGTGCGCTCTTTTTACTGACTTACAACATACTGAAAACATCTACTACACGGGATTGCTGTAAGCATATAGTAACATGCTACAAATTAAGAAGTTGTTGAAATCGGATGTGATGGGACCAAAGGCTAGGTTATCGCAGCCCAGATGTAAACCATAACACACCACAGAAGAAAAACTGCAACATTTATGTTGAGCTAGCATGTAGCGTGAATACATTACCATGCGGAAACCTCTGATACCATTAATTGGTGCGGTAACCTTTAGTTAGTGGCGGGAATCCGCACTGATCTCAAACACTTGGAAGAGGACAAAGGGTAAAAGAGGAAAAGGAGTACGATAAGAAAGGCCAGAGAAGAAAGACGTTGCCACATTAATGAAAGTTCAAATACCACAAACCATCATGAGGTTCAGAAACAGAATCACATCCCTCTCTCTCTCTGTCTCTGTCTCTGTCTCTGTCTCTCTCTCTCTCTCTCCCTCTCTCTCTCTCTCTCTCTCTCTCTCTCTCTCTCTCCTTTTCCCACCTTTGGTCGGGGCTCGCAGGGTCAATTCCACGTAGACCAACATCCACATGTAACGGCTAACGACACTGCTACCTGTCCTTCCAATAATTCCGATAGTGATGTTGCATGTGGCGCTGGGAAAAACTGGCAAAAAGGGGGGGGGGGGGGGGGGCGTCGTAGAGATGATCTTACACGCATACACACGTTTTTTTACTTATTCCTCATCCCCCAAATGGAGCATAGGCTCTCAACCAGCTCACGCTAAATTATCCTGTACTTCTACGTTTTCCCCATCTTTTTTTCTCTAGTCACCCTGTCCATATGTCTTCCTAAAATGGGTACCAGGATGCCTGTCCTGGGAAAGTAAAGACGGCCGGCGTAATGCTGACCACATTACCCATCCAGTGCCGATGGTCTGTAAAAAATATGTGATTCTCTGCCCATATACCCGATGAGCCTTAGACGTAATAAGGGATCTTTACTTTTTTTATAGCCCTTTTAACTATATTTTTATCTGGTTTCTGGAGCGTGCGTGCGTCCTATTCAAAGCCACCACCTTTACTCATCCTTCTGTTGACAAGAATGTGTTAAGTTCTCATTAGACGCTCCGCACTCCGCATTGGTGATTCTGGATACCATTTAATGTAACTCCACTATTCTACACAGTTACCAGTTTATGTACCTCTGTAGTTTATTAGAAATTGTTTTAGTTGTTCTCCGTAGCTCCGCTCCATACAGTAAAACAGAATTGATATTAAAGCCTAATCTGTTAATCTTTTTTTTTTCCTCTTCTTTTACAAAACTGCTTTATGCTGTAGAACGTCGCAGAGAGGAGTTTAACTTCCTTGTCTTCTGGTAATTGCCCAGTTTATGCTAATGTTGTACTGGGTTTGTATAGTGTCTATCTAACGCTCTCCGCACATCTCTTTCTTGGTCGGCCACATGGTTAATAGGCTGTTGTTCTCATATAGTATGATCTAGGTGCTGGTTCCATTTTGACCAGATAAACAAACCATTTCATTCCTTGATTTTCCGGGTTTCTATTGTGTGTAGTGGATGGGGTGAGGAAAGAGGGGGGGGGGGGCAATATAGACCCACTTGCTCCCTAATAAGCATGTCGTAAGAGTTGACTAATCAGCGATTTCCTTAGAAGTCGGATTACATCTGCGCAAACGCTAACACACTAGAAGCAAGCGGCTGTGAGAAAGGGAAACACAAATACTAACACACTGAAAGAAACAGGATGTGAACAAGGGAAACATAAGCACTTACAGACTAAAAGAAACAGGCTGTGAACAAGGGAAACAGAAGCACTTACAGACTGAAAGAAACAGGCTGTGGACAAGGGAAACATAAACAATAACGCCCTGAAGGAATCAGGCTGTGATGAAGGGAAACATAAACACTTACAGGCTGAAAGAAACAGGCTGTGAACAAGGCAATCAAAAACACTAACAGACTGAAAGAAACAGGCTGAGAACAAGGGAATCATAAACACTAACAGACTAAAAAACACAGGCTGTGAACAAGGAAAACAAAAGCACTTACAGACTGAAAGAAATAGGATGTGAACAATGGAAACATAAGCACTTACAGACTGAAAGAAACAGGCTGTGAACAAGGGAAACATAAACACTAACTGACTGAAAGAAACAGGCTGTGAACAAGGGAATCATAAACACTAACAGACTAAAAAACACAGGCTGTGAACAAGGGAATCATAAACACTAACAGACTAAAAGAAACAGGATGTGAACAAGGGAAACATAAGCACTTACAGACTGAAAGAAACAGGCTGTGAACAAGGGAAACATAAGCACTTACAGACTGAAAGAAACAGGCTGTGAACAAGGGAAACATAAGCACTAACAGACTGAAAGAGACAGGCTGTGAGCTAAGGAAACATAAACACTAACAGACTGAAAGAAACAGGCTGTGAGCAAGGGGAAACACAAACACTAACAGACTGAAAGAAACCGGCTGTGAGCAAGGGAAAACACAAACACTAACAGCCACACACACACACAAAAACAGGCTGTGAGCAAGTGAAACACAAACACACTGAAAGAAACAGGCTGTGAGCAAGGAAAACTGTTACCTATTCTCAGAATGCTAGCAATAAAGAACTGATGATTCATCATACCATCCACTATCTTTTATATACATATAGAGGCTTGGCCACGTTATGAGAATGAATTCTGATATACCTGCCAAAACAGCTCTCACATGGACACTAGAGGAAAAGAGAAAACAACATGGAGACGAACGATGGAAAGTGACCTGGGTGCGGCATCTTTGACATGGAAAACTGCACTGAAGATTGCACAGGACAAGAAAGCATGGAAAGTCCTCCCTGAAGCCTCATGTGCCACTAGGCATAACGAGAACTGATGATGACTGATGATGTGTGGTTAGATATGAATAAATATAGTTAAGCATGAAGACAGACAGACATATTAGGCAGGTAACAACTGATAATAAGATTATCCAGTTGAAGTCCAAACATTTTTGTAGCCACACCAACATTCACACAAACTCCCTCATTGTACAAATACCAACCCATGATGGTTGTTGAATTCACTGTAGGGAAGTGACCTCACATCTCCCTACACCTTCTCTGTTATCCCAGACCTTTCTCTGATGGGTTTGAAATCTGTTCAAAAGTCTGTAGAAATTGCAGATAATTGGCGCCATATTATCTCAACTTCCCAACCCCCTTGTTTAGGACCCTTCCATTGGCTAACCAGCTAGAGGACATTTATTCGCCATTATCGACTGGGAAATAGGCGGTGATTAGCTATCCAGATTGCTGCTTTTTCTGACATCAGAAAGAAGGGGAACATTTATCTTCCTTGTCATCTTGTACTCACAGAAACCTTACCATGTAAGATGCCTGTGACAGAATGTCGCATTGACAGCATCCAGAAGTCCCGTATCAAGAAGCGTTTTTGACTCTACACACCGGGATTTGCCGGCGTAAACGGAAATCAAACAGCTAACAGACTGGTCGTGTCTGCAGAGGCTAGTAGAGGAAAAAGTGGGACATGCCGGTGTAAAAGGGAATCAAACAGCTGGCAGACTGGTCGTGTCTGCAGAGCTAGCAAAGGGAAAAGTTAGGACAGGACAAGCATACAGTTGCGTTCTGGAAACGTTAAGATAAACCAGCCAGGAACGATAAACCGCCTGTCTTAAATGGGTATTCAATGAGAACAAGAATGCAGAAACAGGTTGCGAGGTAAAGCTTGAAGGTATGCCACTCAGCTTCTACTAGGTACGCTGGGCATGGAGACTGAGATGGCTGTTGCATTGTAGGACGCAGCAGGGATGTTTCGGACAGATGTTATGGGAAGCTGACAATGTCAAGTAACAAGAATTTTGCTCATTCGCAACCTGCCGGGAAGATTCTTGATCCTTCGCCAGTTCTCATGCCTAACGAACCTCCATGCCCAGAGTCTAAACCTTCACAGACCATGGTCAGATAACACCCAGAGTGAACTAGATCCACTTTATAAGTCTGGGTCGGTCCCACCGTATCAACATCATATGTGTAAGTAAAGTCAGTAAAGGACCTTTTCCCACGCCTTGAGGCATTCTAGGCATACAGGGCTAGACCTATATCTTATAGACTTTAGACAAATCGGCACTCGCTGGGTAATGTGGTCAGCATCAAACCGGCCGCCTTTACTTTCCAGGACAGCATCTGGTACCCACTCAAGATTGAATCGACCTGGAAGCCAAGGTCATTTTTGAAAAAAGTTCGGCCTTATCAGGATCTGAACCCACGACCTTTCGATCTTTAAGCGAGTGTTTGGCCGCCTTCCAGCATTTTACACGAGTGTCCTAATTACAACTTACGTTGAGCCTGAACAGGGTGTCACGATTAGGATTTTATGTTATCTCAGGTAGAAACTAGAAAGGAAACAACAGAAAGAGGGGATAAGACTAACCGACCCTAACCGTAAGCACTTTATAAGATCCACCCAATCGTATCCGCTTTATGGCTAGGTCGATTCCAAGGAACAATGAATCGACGGTATCGTAAAATCACTTTATAAGATTGGGTCGTAAGACAGACAGACTGACCGACAGACAGACAGACAGACAGACATACAGACAGACAGACGGACGGACGGACGGACGGACGGACGGACAGACGGACGGACAGACGGACAGACAGACAGACAGACAGACAGACAGACAGACAGACAGACAGACAGACAGACAGACAGACAGACAGACAGACAGACAGACAGACAGACAGACAGACAGACAGACAGACAGACAGACAGACAGACAGACAGACAGACAGACAGACAGACAGACAGACAGACAGACAGACAGACAGACAGCGCATAAACTAAACTTGCCTGGTGCACCGGAAACACGTGGTGTGATAGCGCGAGCCTTGGGCGGAGACCATGTTCTCCTCCAAAATGGGGAAGCCACATCCGTTACACATGTCGACATTTCCGGTGCTGTGGGAGCGTTTATTGTTGCGGATCTTGTTCCGTCGCCGCAAGGATGGCGACAAGGCACGGCGGAGCAGCGAAGGCGATAAACTCTTCCTGGACTTTGGGCTGATCTGCGGGCAAGACATGTGACACTTGTCATTGACGTTACACAAGGAAGCACTTTGGACAATGTAATGAAGTGAACTTGAAAAACAAAAACACACTTTTGCACGCCTTCAAGCGTATTGGCCATACAGTGCTAGACCAAGGCCGTCTTCAATATATATATATATATATATTTACACGTATATGTGTGCCGTGCCTTGCCGACTAGCTTGAGCCGTCATGCCTCTCCACAATCTGCGATCTGCAACTGCTTGTATCAGTTCGTGTGCTCGGAGTACAGCTGCCCATGAGGCAGGGAACAGCAAAACGGTTGTACACGCAAAACTCAGGTCCAGGTGAAAGCCAAAAGTCCAAGCGGACGATTAACCGGGACCTTCCGCCGGAATTTACAGCCGGTGAACGAAGAAGAAGAAGAAGAAGAAGTTCGTGTGCTGACATCCGTCCATGCTTTGACAAAAGACTGCCAATAATCTTCTCTGTCTTTCTATGTCTCTCTTTCCACAGATCTTTCCAGTTGTCACATGTTCCACTTCCCCTCTTCTCATAACTTGACAAAAAAATTATGATTGTCTCTTCCTGCTGTTTGTGATAAGTTATTTTCAAGCATTCGCCTTTTTCAAAACATCTGGGTTGCTTCTTTTGTTTTTTAGCTGTCTAAGCAATTCTAAGGATTCCTCTGTAAAACCACATCTCCGAGGCCTCAAGTTATTGTTCGGCGTGTTTATTAAATGTCCAGGCTTCACAGCCGAATGTTAAAACTGGCTCTATATTCATTCATTCAGTAGCATGTCCCTCGCGGAACCTCGCTGCCATAACAACCCTCCGGAAAACCTTCCTATCCTGAGCAAGATGTCCTGCGTCTGATACACCCATCTGGAGATCATCTGCCACATCCTGCACCCATCTTCTCCTTGGCCTTCCTCTTCCTCTCTTCCCAGGCATATACCCCTCCATTATTGTTCTCTCTAGACTTCCATGACGTTTCAAGTGACCAAAATATTTCAATTTTCTTTGTTTTATTGTCTTTACTAGCCAACCCTCTTCAATATTCAGCTCTTGAAGTATGGATGCATTTGTTCTTTTCTTTACCCAAGATATTCTTAGAACCTGTCTGTAACGGCTCTATATAGCATACTAGAATTCCTTTCCAAACCTCCAATAACATGGATTTATTGCACAAAATATTCTTTATTTTGTAAAATGTAATTTTGGCCTGTCCTATTCTGTTCTTTATCTAATATCTCTGTGATTCATCTTCCGTCGTATATTTTTAATGTGCCTAGATACTTAAATTTCTGTACATATCCAAAATAACGCCTTTGACATTCGCTTTACATTTAAGCAATATTCTTTTCTGGGAAATCACCCTTACTTCTATCTTTCTGTTATTCGAACTGATTGTGTCTGTGTGTGTTTATGTCTATATATATATATATATTCAATAAACAAGCATATAAACTGTGTACGGTTAGTTGCGTATCCTTCACTAGACTTTGCAGAAGCAAACCCAGCATCTTCTGGCGGGTGTTGTTTTTCTAGACAAATTTCACGGTCAAAAGTTTGCCAGTGGCCCTGAACGGTCGGCTCTCAATACCACTGTCGACGACACCGACACAAGACACATCTTCGACTAGGCACCCCGGCATTACGAAACGCGTTCGCAACGCCTAAGCCACTGAAAAAAGTGTATAACCCATCCTAATTCATTATTATTAAAAAGTTTTTCTTGAATAGCTTGCCTTGATCATACTGGCTCCATTTATGTATTGTCGATCTATCAACTAATGCTTATTCCTTAATGTCATTTAGGGAGGACTCAGGGGTTATGAGTTCTGAATATGCAGTGAAAACGGGCCGTGTGGTCATCCTATTTCTAAAACATCGATTGCTTTACTGAAAGTTGTTTACGTTCATGTCGTTAGCCTGGAGGTGGGGACGTCGCGGCGAGTTGTAGATTGTATGATGGAAGCTCTTCCACGTGTGGTACAGAATCTTGACAATGTGAGAACATTACCTGTTGATTGTAGGGTGGAGGCTTCTCCACGTGTCGTACAGAATCTGTGACAATGTGACAACATTACCTGCAGATTGTAGGGTGGAGGCTTCTCCACGTGTCTTACATAATCTGTGACAATGTGACAACATTACCTGTAGATTGTATGGTGGAGGCTTCTCCACGTGTCGTACAGAATCTGTGACAATGTGACAACATTACCTGTTGATTGTAGGGTGGAGGCTTCTCCACGTGTCGTACAGAATCTGTGACAATGTGACAACATTACCTGTAGATTGTAGGGTGGAGGCTTCTCCACGTGTCGTACAGAATATGTGACAATGTGACAACATTACCTGTTGATTGTAGGGTGGAGGCTTCTCCACGTGTCGTACAGAATCTGTGACAATGTGACAACATTACCTGTAGATTGTAGGGTGGAGGCTTTTCCACGTGTCGTAAAGAATCTGTGACAATGTGACAACATTACCTATAGATTGTAGAGTGGGAGCTTCTCCACGTGTCGTAAAGAATCTGTGACAATGTGACAACATTACTTGTAGATTGTAGGGTGGAGGCTTCTCCACGTGTCGTACAGAATCTGTGAATATGTGACAACATTACTTGTAGATTGTAGGGTGGAGGCTTCTTCACGTGTCATAACAGAATCTGTGACAATGTGACAACATTACTTGTGGATTGCAGGGTGGAGGCTTCTCCACGTGTCGTACAGAATCTGTGACAATGTGACAACATTACTTGTAGATTGTAGGGTGGAGGCTTCTTCACGTGTCTTACAGAATCTGTGACAATGTGACAACATTACTTGTGGATTTTGAGGCGGCAGCATTAGCAGTAGTAGTACATTTTACCCTACTAGGACATCACACAAGCGATAAACACCCGATGATACAAACTGCCATCATGTGGATAAGGATCACCCGTGAAGAGGTCCCAGAAACCGCGTTCAGCCATTACGCCATATTTATGGTGGGGCTTTATCGCGGTCCCATGGCAAGAGCCAGGTTGGGGCTTCGAAATAACGAAACATTGCATCCCACAAAGGCACGACGGGAATTACAACCAAAGGCGGCATCTTCCCCATGTGTTATATAACAGATGACAATGTGACAACATTACCTGTAGATTGTAGGGTGGAAGCTCCTCGACATGTGGTATAGAATCAGTGACAATGGCAGGGGCGTCGGCAAACGTGACGTTCTGTGATTTCTTTTGTCTGGGAGAAATGGGGGACAGTTCTGTTGATGTTTGGATGATGCAGACTGGGCTGAGAGTTAATGGTGCTGGGGGCATCTTCCGCTCCATTCTGTATTCTGTAGACAACAGAGAGTTGAGAGATGGAGATGAGATCGATGACAGTGAAGAGAAGACTAGATGAAATGTTGACAGTATTTGGCAGTTACAAGTGATACTGTTTAAATATTATGCATTTAGAACGTCCATCCATCCATCCATCCATCCATCCATCCATCCATCCATCCATCCATCCATCCATCCATCCATCCATCCATCCATCCATCCATCCATCCATCCATCCATCCATCCATCCATCCATCCATCCATCCATCCAACGCAAGAACGCACGCTCGCTCGCTCGCACGCACGCACGCACGCTCGCACGCACGCACGCTCGCACGCACGCTCGCACGCACGCACGCATGCAAGCACGCTAGCACACACGAACGCACGAACGCACTCACCCAGCCACCCACCCACCCACCCACAGACAGACAGACAGACAGACAGACAGACAGACAGACAGACAGACAGACAGACAGACAGACAGACAGACAGACAGACAGACAGACAGACAGACAGACAGACAGACAGACAGACAGACAGACAGACAGACAGACAGACAGACAGACAGACAGACAGACATGCACGCATGCACGCACGCACGCACGCACACACATATACAGACAGACAGACTGACAGATAAGCAGACAGACAGACAAATTCACAGCCTTGTAATAAATACAATTAAAGAAAGTGATTGAGGAGATAAGGAGTTTTTAAAAAAAACGTTGGGGAGAGAGGCCAAAGCTGCTGGATTGCACTCCATCCGTGCTACTGAAACAATTGTACAGGACAGAACTGAATGGGTGCCGAAAATGTGAGTCCTGTTTGAGATGGTACGGTAAAGGATGATGATGATGATGTTAGTGTTGATGATAACAGCGCTGATGACAATGATATATATGTATGTTTTCATCAGTACTGTAGCAGCATATATATTCACCACCTACATCTACTCACAGACCTATACCCCCCCCCCCCTGACCCCCCCCCCCCCACACACACACACACACACACAAAGGGTCAGTTACGTACTGGTTACGTATTGTCTTCACGACGTTGTAAAACAGCAATTATTGTGTGTGTGGGATGTTTGTAATTTCCCTAGGCAATTTTACGTTCAATCGTTTGCCATTGCTTTTTCCCGACTTTTGATTCAGTAAACCAGCGGTTCTCAAAGTTTTATCGTCGAGGCACCCTAATCGGGCCAAAACAACTTCGAGGCACCCTTATCGGACCAAAACAACTTCGCGGCACCCTTATCGGGCCAAAACAACTTCGCGGCACTCTTATCGGGCCAAAACAACTTCGCGGCACCCTTATCGGGCCAAAACAACTTCGCGGCACCCTTATCGGGCCAAAACAACTTCGCGGCACACCTACGCTTAAAACGGTTTGAATACTTGAATGCAACTGTAATGTTCATATGTCTTTAATACGATGAATGAAACTGTTTGGACTTGACTGCACCTCAATGCAGGCAAAGGTTCAGTCGAACTTCGAGATAAGTACAAGGACAATTCTGAGCACGTTGCGGTTAGTAGTTTATGCACTATGAAATATGACTAACTGTTGTTAAAAAAAAAAAAAAAAAAATCAACTTTTCGACATCTTAAATATCAACTGTTAAGTATCATCATGCCTTCTTTAATAATTTCAGATGTTAGCTGACTTTTCTTGATTATTGTCGCG